TCCTCTCTCCTGTCCCAGTGTAAGAATTACTTCTGTGGAGTGCATGGGTCCCCACCCTTTCAGGAACGTCTCCTTGCTGGCTCCCTGGCTGTGGCCACCTCCCAGACACTCATCAACCCCATGGAGGTAAGAGAATACCTGCCCCACAGAAGAGGAAACAAGATGAAAAGGAGTTACCAGCTGCTACTGCTTCCTCCTCCACCTTCCCTCTCCTCTTTCCCTTCTTCTCCTTCATGTACAATATGTATCAGACTTTTATTCCATATGGCTACTTGGTCGCCCCAACACTATTTAATGAATGGGTCCCATCTTTCTTCTCCAGTGATCAGAGATGCCACCTTTGTAATTTACAGAATTCTTATATATGTTTGAGTTTATTTCTGACCTTTATCCTCTGGTTGCTCTGTTGTCTGTTCATGTGCCACTACCTTTTAAATGTTTTCAGTGAATAGGCTTTATTTTGCAGAGCAGTTTTAGGTTGGCAGAAGATTTGAGCAGAAAGTACAGAGAGTTCTCATATACCTCTCCCCACATTTACAAAGTTTCCACCATTATTCACATCTTGCATTTGGGCGACATTTGTTACAATCCATGAGCCTGTATGGTTAGGCTATTTTTAACTGAAATCCATAGTTGACATTAGGGTTCACTCTTTGCGTTGTACATTCTATGGGTTTTGACAAATGACAAATGTATGATGTGTGTGCCCAGCATTACAGCATCGTACAGAATAGACCCACTGCCCTGAAAAGCTCTTCAACCTGGTCATCCTACCTCCTTCCCCCTGAATTCCAGGTAAGCACTGATTATTTTAGTGTCCACCAAGTTCTGCCTTGAGGCTTGGTGTTATGTTTCATTATTCCCCATCCTTCTCTCCTTTATCTCCGAACATCTACTGGTTTTTGTTTTTCATTGGTGTTCAATTCGTAAACAAGTTAGAGATTGCTGCCATTTTTATGTTGAATCTACACATCCAGGAATATATTCATTTGTTCAAGCCTCTCTTATGTTTTTCAATGGTCTTTTAAAAGTTTTCTTTGTATAATTCTTGTTCTCATCTGTTTAAGTTTCTTCCAAAGTGTATTTGTTTTCATTGCTGCATAACAAATTACCACAGACTCAATTAGCTTAAAATGACAGATTTTTTTATCTCATTGTTTCTGTGGGTCACATCTGGGCACTGACTGATCAGGTCATCTGCACAGGTGGAAGTCAAGGTGTCAGCTGGGCTACCAACAAATCCACCTGAGGCTCCTCTCCCAAGCCGCCTGGTTATTGGCAGGATCAGCTGCTTATGGGTGCAGGACTGACATCCTCAGCTCCCAGAGGCCAACCACTTGTTCCTGCCATGTGGTCCTTTCTACAACAGTTTCCTTGTTTAAGACCAAATGGAGGGTGTCTCTGATGCTTCCAGTCTTTCTACCTCTACCTCTGGCAACAGACCTCTTATAAAGGGCTTGCCTGGTTAGATCAGGCCCACCCAGGACAATTTCTCCTGATTCTTAAAGTCAACTGTTTAGGGACATTTGTTACATCTATTACAAAATCCCGCCAACTTTGCCATTATCACGTAGCCTGATTATGGGAGTGGCATCCCATTATGTTCCTGGGTCTAGCTTACATTCAAGGGAGGGGGGCCATTATAACAGAGCATGCATATCAGGGGGCCCAAGTCTTGGGAACCACCTTACAATTTTGCCTGCCGCACTTGGTGTTCTGCCTTTTGCACAATTATAGAATTGCCAATATTTTGGAATTGGGGTATTTCATTAAAATTATGATCTCTGACTCTTTTGGAAAATTAGCATATCTGGCCACCTGGCACTACACTTGGCTGGTGCTAAGTGAAAGGTGCCACAGACCTCACTTGGCTCAAGTTACTTCCCTTCTCTTCTGGGCCTCTGTCAGGCCCAGAACTTCTGAATCCTGTGTTGAGAGCACACACAGGCCAAGGGATGGGACAGGGAGCTCTGGGTTTGACACCAAGCTTTGTATATTCCTGGGAAGTTTCCTCATTTGTAGATGGAGACAATGGCCACTGCTGAGGGTCATTGAGAAGATCAGATCAAGTAAGCTGCCTCACTCCTCATGCTCCCTAGGTGCTAAAGACACGGCTAACCCTGCGCCGGACGGGTCAATACAAGGGGCTGCTGGACTGTGCCAGGCAGATTCTGGAGCAGGAGGGCACCCGCGCCCTTTACCGTGGCTACCTGCCCAACATGCTTGGCATCATCCCTTATGCCTGTACTGACCTGGCCGTCTATGAGGTGTGAACCCCTTAGAGGGGGTGGCAGGGATGAACCCAGCCCCTAGCAAGCTTTCTCCTGTCCCTCTTTTTCTTGCAGATACTCAGGTACTTCTGGCTGAAGTCAGGCAGGGACATGGCAGACCCTAGTGGCCTGGTGAGTCTGTCGTCAGTGACATTGTCCACGACCTGTGGTCAGATGGCCAGTTACCCACTAACTTTGGTACGCACCAGGATGCAGGCTCAAGGTCAGCCTGGCCCTAGTGGCCACCGTGTATGCTCCCCCAACCCCTCTACCAACCCTCTGAACTTCCTCATATTCTCAAACTCTCCACATCTGATCCTGGCCACCTTCACTGACCCCCAAACCCACCAAGACATACACTTACTCCCAAATCTGATCCAAGCCCTCAAATTAATACCACATATTACTAAAATGAACAGCCATATTACAAATGATTCCCACAAACTCCCCCCAAATGTGACCAAGTTCCCCATACTGACCTCAAGAAATATAACTCCAAAATTACCTCCAAACTTCTCCAAATCAGACCCAGCCCTCACTTGGCTCCGAAAGTCAAAATGGTTCCTAAATTCACCAAATCTAACTCTTAGATGTCCCCAAATTCATAACTATTTCCTCCTCTACCCAGGAAACTCCTCAAATGTGACTCTCAAATGAACTCTCAGCATCTAAACTAATTCTCAAATATCCAAACTATTAGGTGGTCCTAAGGAAGGTGGTCCTTAGCCAACCACTTTCACCTTGAAAATGTCCCCAAACTATTCCTTAGCCCACTTCCCAAAAATCTCTAGCAGATCTTAGAAATTCCCTTTCAAATAAGCTTGTATGTTTTCTAAGATGTTCCCAAAAAGGAAACCTGAAAATTCCTGCCCAAATTGATCTCTTCATTTTCCCCAAACTGACCAATTTCCTCTAAGTCTTCCAAACTCCTTTCCAACTGACCCCCCAGGCTCCTTTCCCTGGCTTCACTCCCCCCAACATTCCAGCCCCTCCCTGCCCTGCCCCCCTCCCCCCAGCTCATCTCAGAGGCACTGAGCTTGTTCTTGTCCTTGCAGACACTGTGGAGGGTTTGAACCCTACCATGTGTGGAGTCTTCCAGCGGATCCTGGCCCAGCAGGGCTGGCCAGGGCTATACCGAGGTATGACCCCCACCTTACTGAAGGTGTTGCCGGCAGGTGGCATCAGCTACGTGGTGTATGAAGCCATGAAGAAGACTCTGGGTGTATAGGCAGTGAGCTGAGCAGCACACCCTGGGCAGAAATGGACAGGAGGATCTAGTGTCCTCTGGCCCCAAAGAGCCCTCCTGGCTCAGGCCCCAGGGAAGTCTCTCCGTTTTTTATTTTGTTTGGGTTTGTTTTTTTTTTCCAGGAAAAGCAGGCCGGGGGGTTGTGTGTCTGGGTCAGAAGATGCTCTCCAGGGTGGTGCCTGAAATTATTATAGACTCCATTTTGGCTCATAGTAGTCTGTCCTGGCTCCAGGGACAAATGGTGAACATAAAGTCAAACCAGGAATAAAGTGATGGTTTCTGTTATACATGTCTGGGACACCAGGGTCCAGGAGAAAAGCTGTGGACCTGGATACTTGGGTCAAAGAGAGGAGCTAAATATCTGTGCTCCGTAGGTCCTCGAGGGGGACTGGGTATCTTGAGCCCCTTGGGCCTGAATAGAAAGCCTGGATGATGCCTGGATCCAGGTAATAACTTGAGGACCTAGGATTGGAGCTTGAAGCTTGGATCCCGGGACCTCATGTGAAGCAGGTGAGGGGTGTGTGAATAGGGCATAGGATCCCTCAGGGACCAATGGCACAAGACCCTTTAGTTCAGGAGGGGTGCTGGTTCCATGTGTCCTGGAAAAGAAAAAGGGGTTCTAGATTCATGGGTGGAGAAAGGAGAGAGGTGTACCAGGGGATCCCTGGGTTTTCTCCTGTTCTCAGGCCACCTGAACTCCAAAAGCCTCCAAGGCCTCAAACAGGCCACGTGCCTGGCCTACACAGCCAGGCTCTAGGGGCGCTAACCCTGACGTCAGGCCCGAATTCCGGCAGCGGTCGCCACTTCCTACGTAACCTGCCACTCAATTTCCCTCCCGCTAACCCCAACTCGCCGTCTAGTGGCCGGCTCCGCCCCAATGCAGCTGCGCTTCCACTGGCTTCTACCAAAACTGGGCACCTTTACTTCATTGTCATTTGTCAGGAGCAGTGTCAGTCACCTAACATCTACCCTCGTCGCTCAGTTATTGGCTTAGTAGTCGAGGCTAGAAAAGGATTCTGGTTAACATGGAAAGCCAGTCCAAACCCAAGTGCATCACCCACAACTCGTCAGGAATTGGATTAAACTGACTGCCAATCTTTACAAGAACCGCCTTCCACGTGTACTCATTGGCTTGCATTCCAAAAGCTATTTGCTAGGCTCCTCCTTCCTGTCTGCTTGACTCTTCGGAGCGGTCAATCGGTTCTGAAGCCGCCCCGCAACTCTGGAACTCCCGCTTCATTGGGCCTCCCGCTTTCTCAGATCGCCTCGATTTGCCAACCAAGGCCGGCAGCCCGCAGCTCGTTGCCTCCAAGAGCTGTCAGTCACATGGTGTCTCCCGCCCATTGCGTCTCACGGCACTTCGATTGGTCGCTCCTCTACAAAGCCTGCGATTGGTGGCCCAGGAGCGGCGGTCATTTCCCATTGGCCCGGCTGTGCTGTCCGTCACGGCGGCGGGAGGGGGCGTCCCTCATTCCCCTCGTCGTCTTCCCTGCCGCTGGGTTCCCAGAGTGCTCCGCGGCCGTGTGGAGCGAGGCCTTGTTCCCGCGTTGAGCCGCCGCCGCCGCCGCCGCCTCCTCCTTCTCAGCTTCAGCTTCCGCGCCAGGTCCGGCCCCGCCGCGCCATGTCGGACTACAGCACGGGAGGACCCCCGCCCGGGCCGCCGCCGACCGCCGGCGGGGGCGGGGGTTCTGGGGGCGCCGGGGGAGGCCCTCCACCGGGCCCGCCAGGCGCGGGGGACCGGGGCGGCGGGGGCCCGGGCGGGGGGTCTGCCGGGGCCTCTTCGCAGACCCCCGGCGGGGGCGGCCCAGGAATTCGCAAGGACGCCTTCGCCGACGCTGTGCAGCGGGCCCGCCAGGTGAGGAGGCCGCGGGCCTGAGGGGCGGGCGGGGGAGGGGGCGGGGTCACGTGCGCGCGCGCGCGGGGTCGCGGGTGAGGGGTTGCCGGGGCCGCCGTGGGTTCACGTGGGGCAGTAGACTGGGGCCTGGGCCGCCCCAGGTGCTTCGAATGCGGTTGCCCCATGGGTGACTTCCTGCACGGGGAGGGGGCGTCCGGGGAATTCCCTGGAGCGGTCCCTGGGTGTGCAGGGGCTCCGGAGTGCGACCTCTTACTCTGGGGGACGCCCCGCTTTAGTACAGCGCAGGCGTGCTCCAGTGTCCTGGAAGGAAAGGGTCCACTTTCCCGGGATGTGCCTTACTTTGCTCTCATCTCTCCATCAGGGCACAGAGCTCTGTTTGCCCCCAACCCAGTCCCGTTTCAACCCACTCCCCAGAAAGAATGGACTTGGGGGGAAACAAGTCCTTCCTCTTGAGTATAGAAAGGGAATCCTTTTGCTGCCAAAGTAGCCAAGCACTTAAACGAAATGGAGACGGTGGGCGTAGGTGTGGATTCTGTTTGATGCTACTAGCAGCTTGAAAGCGTGGTCTCTATTTTTCTGGGAAAGAGGGGAGGGTACCACCACAGTTTCTTGAGTCTTGATAACTGCTTGGAGGTGTCACATGCTGATGGGATTGACCTCCCCAGAACCTGGAGGAGAGGAGGTCCTTAGAATGGGGTGACTTTGGCCCCTTTTCCGGAAGCAGCCCCCAGCCTGATCTGGGTAGTTCCAATGCCTCAGGGCAGGGTGGGAGGTCCCGTTAGGTTGAACATCCTCCTCCGCCCATTTATGATTTGTGCTTTCTCACCTCGAGTGGAATTGTGTTCTTATGTGCACTTCATCTGCTTGCCCACCAAATTGTCTTGACTGACAAGCAGCTATCGTTGGTGGAGTTGGTGCTATCTGTTGGGGTGGGATTAGGCCCCATCTGGGCAGACCAAGAGCTTTGGCTCCAAGTCTTAAAATGAGAGAGGTGGAAAGATACATCCATAGTTCTTGGTTTTTGTTTCTTTGGAGAATTTGTAATAATTCCACAAACAGCCTCTGGTGTTAATAAGTTTGTTGGATTGGGGTTTATTTGAAGTTGCTCTTCGTGTGGCTAAATTGTAACATATGTTCCAAAAGGGTCTTTTGTTTTTCTCAAATGAAGGTTTCAGATGCCTTGAAGCAAAAACTATCCTGAATTTGTTTCACAAATACAAAGATTCTGAGGGTGAGGGAGGTAATACCCCTCAGCATCCTAGTAGAACTAGGCTACAGTCACACTTTCTGATTCTCTGCAGCCCTTCCTTGTGGAGATGACCTGTGGACCCTCTGTGGCACTGAGTTTCTTCTGTTCCTTTTATCCCTAGGACAAGTTAGTGTGGGTTACGGTCTGCCACAAACAATTTAAGCCCAAATCTAGTCGAGAAAAGAAGTTTTGAAATTCCTGGATAATTCTTGAACTTTAAATTTTTAGGTGAAAATTCTTTTTAGAATATCTTAACTAATAGCTATTTCCTAAATTGGAAATGCTGACCCCCAGGCCAAACAGCAAGACCAGAAAACAAGTTATCTGAGCCCCATGGAAGGTGGTTTTTGATGCTAATTCTATTCTGTTTACAACTTCATCTCTAGATCGCAGCCAAAATTGGAGGCGACGCTGCTACAACAGTGAATAACAGCACTCCTGATTTTGGTTTTGGGGGCCAAAAGAGGCAGTTGGAAGATGGAGGTAACTACCTGCTGGGAGGAAGGGCCAGGGGTAGAGAGTGAGGTGCCTTTGTTTGAATGTGGTTCAGAGTGGGGGGGAGCCTGCTGCCATTCGGTCTTTTAAAACCTCAGCAATCCCAGCTTTGTTCATTCTTTTTGTTGAGCCACCGTCCTGAGGTATCAGGTGGCTGAGAGGAGAGCAGATTGACTGTGGCTAGATCCAAGTTGTAAGTTCTCAAGATTGTTCCTCCCCTTCTGGTAGTCTGGGGAAATGCTGGTACCTTTATTGAGGCCCCCTGAAAGTAAAGTTTGGCTGGGCCTGCAGCATGCGGCATTACCCACAGTAGCTAAAATGATCAGTTGGGCCCTGGCTGGTGTAGCTCACTGGATTGAGAAAGGGCCTGCAAATCAGAAGGTTGCGGGTTCGATTCCCAGTCAGGGTGCATGCCTGGGTTGTGGACCAGGTCCCTAGTAGGAGGCATGGAAGAGGCAACCACACATTGATGTTTCTCACCCTCTCTTTCTCCTTCCCCTCTCTCTAAAAATAAATAAATAAAATCTTTAAAATGATCAGTTGGGTGGTCTCTCACTTTGTGGGGGGTCATCTGATTGATCTTTCAACCAGGACCCTGCTGCCCAAGGCAGGTCCAGTCTTGAGCTGGAAGGATTCAGAAACCACCATCATTGTTCCCCCGTTATAAAGGGCTTTTTCACTCTTGGTGGTGGCAGCAGGATTGGTGAGGTCTGGCCTCATTTAAGAGTTGGTCTCTGCTACTTTCCTGTATTGGCTCTGATGTTGGGGGGTAGTAGAAGGGGGATTTTTTGCCAGGATGTGTGGCACTGGCATCAGATTTGAGGCAGCTGTGGGCGGGTGCTGCATCTGACATCCTGTCTCTTTCACAGACCAACCAGAGAGCAAGAAACTGGCTTCTCAAGGAGACTGTAAGTCCATTGGGTGACACAGGTAGAGGGCAGCTTTAGGATCTTGGAATGTTGTTAGGATTTGGGAGCTAGGAGCACTGAGCACCTGTCCTTTATGGAGGCTGCAGGTGTTTATGACCTGTGGGGTTCCCATAGCCCCTGGAAATTGAGGTAGAAATACGTGCTGCCTGTGCTATTGTGAGAGGGCCCACTGTGCACCAGTGCTCAGTAGGGCTTAGACTGTAATGGTGCTAGTTGCCACCATGGAGGCAGGAGCACCTGGGGCCACTGGTGTTCAGAGTTCCAGAGAGAAGCCAGGCCAATCTTTCCTGTGGATTTTCTCTCTGCAGCCATCAGTTCTCAACTTGGACCTATTCATCCTCCCCCCAGGTAAGTTGTGATTTGGAGAATATGTCATTTTTCTGTCTGTCAGCTCTCTCTGGTGCTTCTTACTGACTGAGGGAGAAGAGCCCTGTCCGGGGTTTCCACACCATTTAGGGTTCTTCCATCAGAGAGCAAACAGAGAGATAGAGGGCACTGACTTCGTCTCTGTACTTACCTGTCTTCAGAGCTGGAGGGAGAGGGTTGTAACACTTTTTTGGTAATGACAAAAGGGTGGTCTCTGCGCCCTGGAGCTTCCTTTGTTGAGGTGGGGACACTCCAAAAGCACAGGCATCTTTCTTTCTAGAAAAGTGTGGTTTTCTTATGCGTCCTCTGGACGTGTTTGTTCCCTGAGAGCTAGTGGAGCCTGGGGTAGGGAGGCCTTTCCTTTTTGCTGCCCCCACCGCAAATGACTTTAGTGAACTTGACAGAATGTTTTGTGAAGGACCGACCATATTGTTGGGGGGGGGGGTATAAATTTAGGCCTGTTGTGGGGGAGCTAGGAAATTTAAATGAAAAAGGTAAAAACAAATTTTTAAGTCAACACATGTAAGATGTGACTTAATTACATTGCTGTGAAAGTATTTAAGTGCACAGTCTCTCCCTAAGTCAGAGACAGCGCTGGTCCAAGGGCCACTCTGCCTAGAGCCAGCCTCTTGTAGCCCAGGAGGGGAAATGAACCTCCAGAGGTGGAGTGACCTACTATAGGGTGAGGGAGCCCCAGCCTCATGCTGTTAGATTCCGTTTGGGCCTGTGGGGCTTTGATCCCATCATAGGAAGTAGGGTCAGAGGCTAGAAGCATTGGGGCAAGGCTCCTTTTCTCCAGGGAGACCCTCTGCTTCTTTCCTATTTGAGACCTTCATTGTCTCTCTTTGCAGGACTTCAATGACAGAAGAGTACAGGGTTCCAGATGGCATGGTGGGGCTAAGTGAGTGTGGGTCACTGTGGTCTGGGGTGCCCATTATACCTACCCCACCCCCTGGGACAGTGTCCTGGGAGCCCATGCCAGCCCAGAAGCCTTTGGTCTGAAAGGGCCTCCCCTATTCTGCTCTTACCTGTTCTTTCTGGGCGGAAAGAATGGTGGAGCTCTTGGAATGGCTCCTGCCCTCTTTGAATATTCATATGGCCTGAAACCCCTACTTCTTTGTGTACTCATTGCTGGATCCTTCCTTCCATCAACTCTGCTTTTCTTCTTTTCCACCTAGTCATTGGCAGAGGAGGAGAACAGATTAACAAAATCCAACAGGATTCAGGCTGCAAAGTCCAGATCTCTCCAGGTATGAGTGAGCCATATTCATGCCAGAATGAATGCTGGGCTGGGGCTTGGCTCTCTGCACTTTAGTGATCTCACTTTTAACTTGACCGGTAGACATGGAATATGAAATGTGCTAGTGTTTGTTTATTGAGTGCCTTCTGTGTACCAGGCTCAGTGCAGTGTCTCCACTAAACAGCACCTTAAGATGTAGCTGTGATTTTCTTTCATTTTATAGGTGGGGGGAAGGCTGAGAGGGAAGATCTAGAATTGAAAACAAGGACCCTTATTCCAGGTCTGCTTTGAACCATTATGTTAGGTTGCCCCCTGAACTAAATGCCTAATAAAAACCGGACAGGAATATGGGAAGCAGGAAGGTACATTAGAAAGAAAAGTGTTGAGAACAGGCCTGGATTTGAATTGCATGTCTGCCTGCTCCTCTGTAGGAGTCTGCTTTTCGGGAGTTTCTGAGGCCTTGCTCTAGCAGAGTGGAGACTGTTAACTAAAGGGTGCGCACGTGGTTGTCAGTGGTGGTGAGAATGGCCCAGGGTTTCGACCTTCCGTAATCTGTTTCTCCTTGCTCTTATTCTCTGAAAGTTTTCATGTTATTCTCTAAAAGTTCTGCTTCCCATATTGGACTTTAAGCTTCCTGACCTCGGCCTTGCCTAATGCAGCCTCCCAGGTCTTTGGGGAGGTAAATTGATTTCTCAAGCTGCTGAATGGTGGCAGAAGTGTCCATTTGTTGTTCTGGAAGTTTCCTCATCTCCAGTAAAGGCCTTTCCAGGGTCTGCAGGCCTAGAAAGGCACTGACCCTATCTCCTCTTCTCTCCAGACAGTGGTGGCCTCCCTGAGCGCAGTGTGTCCTTGACAGGAGCCCCAGAATCTGTCCAGTAAGTGCTCACTGGGCCTGTCATTGTGATGGGAGTGTGCAGAAGTCCTCTAGATCCCTTTGAAAGTTGTGGGTGACACACCATGTCCCTGCACCCCAGTCCCAGGAACTGTAATACTCATCTTCCTCATCATCTGTCAGACCCATATGTTGAAGATATCTTTGCTTTGAGTTGGGGGGGGTCTCCAGGCCAGTACTTTTTCAGGTGACAGCACCCCATTCCTTCCCTTCCCAGGAAAGCAAAGATGATGTTGGATGACATCGTCTCTCGTGGTCGTGGGGGCCCCCCAGGGCAGTTCCATGACAATGCCAACGGGGGCCAGAATGGCACGGTGCAGGAGATTATGATCCCTGCAGGGAAGGCTGGCCTGGTCATCGGCAAAGGCGGGGAGACCATTAAGCAGCTACAGGTGAGAGGGTGGAGCAGAGGACAGAAATTTCCTTTCATCCCAAGACAGTGTCCTTTCTGTGTCTGATGTATACACACACACACCAGCTGCTTTGCCAGCCTTTTACCCTTCTTGATCATGGACCCTGCCCCCAAGTGCACTAGTTTCCAGAAAGTTCTGCACTGACAGTCAATGTTGGTTTTAAAGGAACGAGCTGGAGTAAAGATGATTTTAATTCAAGATGGTTCCCAGAATACAAATGTGGACAAGCCCCTTCGGATCATTGGGGATCCTTACAAAGTGCAGGTGAGCACACCTTGCAGGTGGTGGTGGTTTCTAGAGATGTAAGAGAAATCTGGTAGGCTGGCTGGAGGTTTGGATGGAAGCGGAGAGGTTTCCCAGAGCTCTGGCTTTGAAGTTGGCCCAGGGTTTGTGTTCTTGTGTTGAACTCTCCCTCCCGGTTGTTTGTACGTGAGCAAGTAGCCTAAGTCTGATACTTTGTTTTCTCATCTGGAAAATAGAGGTGCTGGCCATGCCTGCCTCTTAGGGTGGCAGGTAACAGAGCTCAGCACCTGTGTGTTGGTCCTTAGCTTAGACCTGTGACCCCTTGGTTTGTGGGAGGCTGGGGTCGCAGTAGGGCAGCAGAACTTACCGTGTGCACCATGCTCTGTGTTTTTGCAGCAAGCCTGTGAGATGGTGATGGACATCCTCCGGGAGCGTGACCAGGGTGGCTTTGGGGACCGGAATGAGTATGGATCCCGGATTGGTGGAGGCATTGATGTGAGTGCAGGCCTCCCCGAGAAGATGGAGGGCTGTTTGTGTGAGGGGCTGTTTATATCCAGTAGACAGCAAAAGCTGGCTCTTCCTTCCTCCCTCAGGTGCCAGTGCCTAGGCATTCTGTTGGCGTGGTCATCGGCCGGAGTGGAGAGATGATCAAAAAGATCCAGAATGATGCCGGTGTGCGGATCCAGTTTAAACAAGGTCAGGCCAAGTCGTGTCCTCTTAAGATCACCCTGAGGGTCTACTGCAGACAGCTTGGCACCATGGTTAGCATGCTGAGCCTCTTCGTGGTGCCTTGTTACTCCTAGATCTTTTCTCTCTCTTTTGTGGGACAGCCCTGTGAGACACTTGGTGACGGGGAGACTTTCCGTGTTTTCCTCTCCTGTTGAATTTATGTCTTCCCTCTCTGCAGCCAGTGGCCCATCCCGACAGGGCAGCCTAGATAACTTGGGCACCCTGGGCTGATCAGACTACTATCCCAACTCTGGGCACCTGCAGAGCTTGTGGGAGTCTCTTGAGGGCACGTCTGTGGGGAGGATGGACCTCTTGCTTTTCAGAGATTTGTTGTTTTCAGTTCTATAAATTGCATGCATCAGTTCTAGGGGTTCCAATTGCAGAAAGAAGCCTCAGCCGCCTTCCTTCTAAGTTGGTTGGTTTTCTTCTCTGGGGACATGGGGCCTGCTTGCCTCATTTCTCACTCCTGAGTACGTGGAGTGTGGCGAGTGGCCCTAAGTCTGAGTTGTTTCAGGCACCCAGCTTGGCATGGTGCTGTCCTGAGGAGGCAGTGTTTTGGAGTTGTGCTTCTCTTTTAAATCTGTGTCTCTGTTCTCTGGGTGCTGGCCTCAGATGATGGGACGGGTCCTGAGAAGATAGCTCACATAATGGGGCCCCCAGACCGGTGTGAGCACGCAGCTCGGATTATCAATGACCTCCTCCAGAGCCTTAGGGTAGGTGGCATGGGGTAGGTGAGAAGAGCTGGTGGGGGCAGAGGGGACAGGTCTGGCTTCCTCTATTCATTCTCCATCCTCTCTGTCTTGCAGAGCGGTCCCCCAGGCCCTCCAGGAGGTCCTGGCATGCCCCCAGGAGGCCGTGGCCGAGGAAGGGGCCAAGGCAACTGGGGCCCACCTGGTGGGGAGATGACCTTCTCCATCCCCACTCACAAGTGTGGGCTAGTCATAGGCCGAGGTGAGTAGGCCTCTCCCTACCCTTCATCCCTCACTCACTCTCTCCTCCCACCCTCCCCTCACTGCCTGTGTCCCCCTCAGGTGGCGAGAATGTGAAAGCCATAAACCAGCAGACAGGCGCCTTTGTAGAGATATCCCGGCAGCTGCCACCAAACGGGGACCCCAACTTCAAACTGTTCATTATCCGTGGCTCACCCCAGCAAATTGACCATGCCAAGCAGCTCATTGAGGAGAAGATTGAGGTGGGCTCCTGGAGGGATCATGGAGGGCTCTGGGGGCCTGGGCATGGCTCCAGCTTCTGTCTCTTACCTGCTAACCTTGTGCCATTTCTTCCTCCAGGGTCCCCTCTGCCCAGTTGGACCCGGCCCAGGGGGACCAGGCCCTGCTGGCCCCATGGGGCCCTTCAATCCTGGGCCCTTCAACCAGGGGCCACCAGGGGCTCCCCCTCAGTGAGTATTTCAGCTGCCTGGGATTTGGGACATTGGGTTTTGTATGCTGGCAAGAAGAGTGACAGGCCCTGTTTCCATTTCCATTCACCACCAAGGGGTCCTGCGTCATCTTTCAGAAGCAATGGTTCGGGACCCAAACATGATCCAGCCCAGCCCTCTGTTTCACAGACACCGTCTTTTACAAGATGCTATAGGTGTTGAATTTGGGGGACTTTGTATCACGGCCTGGGTCCTATGCATTGTTAGTTTTCTCACACCCTTCCCTGGGTCCCCTTTCTACTAGCCATCTTTATCCCTGCAGCAGAGCAGCCTGGACTTACGTGTTCCCCCTCTTTCTCCTGCAGTGCCGGGGGCCCCCCTCCTCACCAGTACCCACCCCAGGGATGGGGCAATACCTACCCCCAGTGGCAACCACCTGCTCCTCATGACCCGAGTAAGTAAGGCTACCCATTTGATGGGGCAGCACAGGGTCTGGGAATGGGACTGGTTTTCCGTGTCAGCTCTAAGCCTGCATTGCTTTCTTCTTGCAGATAAAGCTGCTGCAGCCGCCGCAGACCCCAACGCAGCCTGGGCCGCCTACTACTCACACTACTACCAGCAGCCCCCAGGCCCTGTGCCTGGTCCTGCCCCTGCCCCCGCAGCTCCACCTGCCCAGGGTGAGCCGCCTCAGCCCCCGCCTGCTGGCCAGTCAGACTACACAAAGGCCTGGGAAGAGTATTACAAAAAGATTGGTGAGTGAGTGGGCCACTGCATGGGCTCAAGTGAGCCAGAGGAGCAGAGGAGGCCAGCTGTGTCCTCTTACCTTGGTGCCTGCCTTCTGCAGGTCAGCAGCCCCAGCAACCTGGAGCTCCCCCACAGCAGGACTACACAAAGGCCTGGGAGGAGTACTACAAGAAGCAGGGTGAGTTATACAAAAAGAAAAAGAAAAAAATAGTAACAGGGATGAAAGTGCAGCACAGGGAATGTCGTCATCATTATGATGACTTGTGTGGTTGCATGGGTATTAGTATAGTGATTATATTGTAAGGAATTTAAATGGAAAATCACTGTGGGACACCTGAAACTAATACAATATTGTATGTCAACTATATAATTTTTTTAAAAACCAGCTTGAGCTAGTGGACCTTGAGGTGAGGCAGGGCCAGGCCCACTCTTGCCAGCCCCACTTACCCTCTCCTCCCAACAGCTCAAGTGGCCACTGGAGGGGGTCCAGGAGCACCCCCAGGCTCCCAGCCAGACTACAGTGCTGCCTGGGCTGAATACTACCGACAGCAAGCCGCTTACTACGGACAGACCCCAGGTCCTGGCGGCCCCCAGCCTCCACCCACACAGCAGGGACAGCAGCAGGCAAGTGGGAATTGCCACCCTCCTCCTCCTCCTTTTTCCTTCCAACCCCCAGCCACCGTTCATCCTGCCTTAGTGGGTAGCGCCGGAAATCCCTTCCCCTGCGGGGTGTGTCCTTGATGCCTGCAGCGGGGGCCGTGTGGCCGGAGGTCTCCAAGAGTCCCCATGAGCCAGGGGAAGTGTGCGCTGGGTCCAGAGGTTAAAGAAGAGGCCTCCCTCCGCCGGCTCGCTTGTTCCTGTGTAATGCTGTCGTGATGCTGGGGGCGAGTGCGAGACAGATAAAAGGTGGAACTGTTGAACTGGTGGATAGTCCTGGGGGTGGGGGGCAGACCAGCCACTGAAACGGTCACCAACCTGGCTGCTAACTCAAAATCTGGCCACTTGGGAAGAAAATGGATATTTTTCCCCCTCTGCATTACTTTTTTTGGCTTTTGTTTGTTTTGTTTTTAAACCCACGATCTTCTCCCCGACTGTGTCCAAGTGACTGTGTTTGCAGGCAGCCCCAGCGTGGGGTGGCCCTGGCTCCAGCAGGGACGTGGGGAGCCTGCCAAGGGGACCAGCCCTGGAGCCCCTCTGCTCCACCTGGGTTTGGCCTCTGCTCTCACGCCCGTGTCTGTGTCCCGGTCTTGTCTGTGAAGTGGGCATGATGATCGCTGCCACCTTCCAACCTACCTCACAGGGGTGTTGTGGGGACACCGTGATCTCTGAGATTGTTCATGTTGTGATGCGCCGGGAGCCACCGCTTTCTCCCCTGCTGACCCTCACTTCGCTTCTCTCTCTCCCGCGGTCCCTGCTTTCTCCTTCTTCCCTTTGTGTCACTCTTTCTCCTCCTCCTCCATCAAGGAGCCAGTCATCAGCCAGTCATCAGCCGAGTCCCTGGAGCACTTCACTAGACAGTTACAGACATACCTGTTAGCCATCGTTTTTGGAAGAGGGGCTTCCTGGCCCCCTCCTTACAGTCCCCTCAGTTTCCCGCCCCTGCCTCCCCCTCCCCATAGTGACCAATTCCTATCTCTTCCCTCTCCGCAGGCTCAATGAATCGAATGAATGTGAACTTCTTCATCTGTGAAAATTCTTTTAATATTATTTGTTTTGTTTGGGGGTTTTCTTCTTTGGTTTTGGCTTTTCTTTTTCTTTTTTTTTTCTTTTTCTTTCCTCCATTTGTTAGGTGAGAGAGCGACGGCTGCCGTAAGGGTGTGGGGAGCCCTCTCTGAGTGGCGGCTTGGAGGGCAGTGCTGGCTCTCGCTCTCTCGCTTTTTGTGTCTCACATGCTTTTTTTTTTTTTCTTTTAAATTTGGGGTCCTTAATGTTGAGCCAGACATAGAAGATAGTGAGAACTAAGTCTCTGCCAAAAAAAATTTTTTTTAAATAAACACGAAGTGAAACAAGACCTATAAGATTATATATATATATATATAAATCTCTATACCCACCCTTCCTGAAACTGCTTCTTTCAAGGGAAAGTAATTCATTTTCTCTCTACCACTCTTGGCCCTCTTCATGTTTTTAAAATAAACTTCTAAAAAGGAAAAAAAGTCAATCTTGCTATTTCTTTTTTTTTAGTTAGAGTTGGAACATTCCTTGGACCAGGTGTTGATATTGCAGGAAACCACCCCCCACCCCACCCCCTTGCATCAGTTGAGCCCCTCTGCCTCTCTGCTCCTCTCGCTCCTCCCTCTGCCCGAGCTCGGCTTCCCGCAGCCCCTCCTTCCCGCGTCCTCTCTCCCAGGACTGGTCTGTCATGTTTCATCTGTTCAAGAGGACATTGAAACTGCAAACAAATTGAGAACAAAAAAATTGTATGGCAGTTTTTACTTTTTATCGCTCGTTTTTAACTTCACAAATAAATGATAACAAAACCTCCCCATGTCTGCTGGGTGCCGTCTCTCTGTTCCCCACCTGCCCTTGTAGAGTTTTGAAGCAGATGTATGTTCTTTATAGATGTTGTAAGAGCCTGATAATGGTGATTGGAAATTACAAGCTTTGTGTTGTGTTTTTCTTTTTTTTTTTTTTTTTAAGAGAACAAAATTATAAGAGAAAATAGTTTTCTGCAGGCACGTTGTACTTTCCTATGACTTTTCTTCCCGTTCCCCCCCCCCTTTTTTTTTTTGTTAAATAAAGAGCTTTTTTGTCTAAAACTGTGTGCTGGATGCAATTGTGTTTGTAGAGGAACAGGCTTGGCCTATGAGACCGCAGTACCAGCTGCCCCCCTCCCCCAAAGACTGCCCTCTGATTTTGTTTGGGGAGGGAGAAGCAAACTACATGCCTGTGGTGCAGTTCTCCCCCCACCCTGTTCTTCCCTCTGGCAACTTGGGGAGCAAAGCACCCAGGATGATCCCCAGGGACAGGCGTTCCCATGGATGCACCCTACCACCACAGCAAACTCAGCCCTGCCTCACAGGAGTCATCCTGGCCTTGCTACTTGTTCTCATTAGAGAGCTCTGAGTTGGAAACCTATCCTGGCCAAAGTGATGGTACCAGCTAAGTGCTTGGTGGCAGTCCATGGCCTCCCAAGGGTGAGGACAGGAAATGGGAGAGTAAACTAAGGAGCCACTTGAACTGCCCAGCATAGGGGCAGTCATCCTGAGGCATACTGTGTAGCAGGAGTGTTCCGTTTGGATTTATAGTTGAATACTAACACTTAAAAATCTGGTTTTAGCCCTGGCTGGCGTAGCTCAGTGGATTGAGCGCAGGCCTGCGAACCAGAGCATCACAGTTCGATTCCCCGTCAGGGCACATGCCTGGGTTGCAGGCCAGTTCCCGGCAGGGAACACACGAGAGGCAACCATACATTGGTATTCCTCTCCCACTCTTTCTCCTTCCCTTCCCCTCTCTCGAAAAATAAATAAATAAAATATTTTTTTAAAAAAATCTGGTTTCACCATCAGAAAATATGGATGCCTGGGTCCAGAGGCTTAAATGGCAGTACCCAGTAGGTGACAGTAATAGTGTTGCCTCTAGGTGGGGCTGTTCACAGCCCTGTGACCTTCCACGTTTCTTAGGAACTTGTCCCTGTGGGAGTGTTCATTGATGGCCCCCAGGGGCCCACAATGTGGCACGCACAGTGGGCCAGGAAGGGGGATACTGTTGCTCTGGGGTCACATGGACAGCTTGGAAGCATAGGCTCCATGCATACACGCTGTATCTCCCAGGCACTGCACCCCTCTGAGCCCTCTGCTGGTGCTTGGGTGAAGAGTCAGCCCTCTGCGCTCTCACTGCAGACTTTCAATGACAGAGCAGAACTTAGCAAAAAATGTTTCTGGAACTGCTATAAAGATTGAGAGGGGTCATTTCTTTGTCACAGCTGTGTTACTGCCCTCCACCCCAATGAAAAGGAGCAAACAAGTTTGCGGGCCTCTATTCCTGCCAGTGAAAAGAATCAGGAGGTACAGTCCTGTAGCTATCTGTACTAGAGAGGGATAAGGGGGATGGGTCAGGAAGGCTGGGATAAGACAAGATTTCATGTTACGGCTGGCCAATCAGCCACACAGCTGTGCAGAGATGCTGTCCCTCCAAACAGGCTACCATGAAGGGGGTGTGGAGAATCACCCACCCACCAGGCCTCCCATCCCATTCTTGGGCACAGCCAGTTCCGCCAGCATTGCTGTCCCCCCTTTAGCCTAATGAATGTCATGTTCCTACCCTCAGTGATGGGAACATCACTAAAGTTCACCATCTTCATAACAATGAAAAGTATAGGAATTGCATGGGTTGCTTTGTGAATTAACTGATCCCTTCTTTACACCTGGAGAATCTGTATGGCTTTGACTTGAGCTGTGGGTGGACCAGTTGTCAATCTCATGTTTTGACAATATGTTCTAAAATGTATTTATTTTTACAGTTTTGGAGACAGTTTTGGAGCTAATCACTCAGACCTTAAACATCATAGCTGGAAGGCTGTAGCCTGCACCTGTACTGCTTAATGGAGGAAATGAAATTCCCAGATGTACACAGATGGACTGAGGCCTGGAGAGACTCTGGGCCACAGCGTGGCTCCTGTGCTGTTTTAAGCTGGATCTGCCCTCTGGAGGCCAGGGTGGTGAGCGGCAAACCTGTAGTACCTGCATTTAGGAGGAGGTTCTGCTGGTAGAAGGTCAAGAGGGGCTCACACAGGGTGTCATGCATCTCTAGGCGGACAGCCAGCGCCATCAGCCACCTGATGTGCTTCCACCTGGCCCTGGCCCGGCGCTCTCTGGACCATTGTCTCCATGGAGCAGTCGAACACCATGACTGTTGGCCTGGCCCACCCAGGCACCCAGAAAAAGGCTCCCGTGCAGGTCAATAAGGAATGAAAAACCAGGTCCCCTGGGTCCTTTTTATAGTTTCAAGTTTTTGTCTTATTTATTTTTTTGGATAAGTGGGATACTTGGTAGAGCTCATAAGCCAAACAACACAAACAGGAAAAAGTGAAGTGTTCCTCACTGTCCCCATCTACCCAGTATTATCCTTCCTGGGGGTGACCGAGTGTTCTGTTTCTCATGTCTCCTTCTGTAGCTATTTTGGGATAAAACGTGCAAGCAAATCCAGCTGTGGTATTCTTTCCCCCTTTTTTTCTTTTTGATATAAAAGGTGAAGACTGATTTGCTCTTGACGGTTTTTTAAAATATTTTACTTATTTATTTTTAGAGGGGACGAGAAGAAGAAAGAGTAGGAGAGAAATATCAATGTGTGGCTGCCTCTCATGTGTTCCCCACTAGGGACCTGGCCTTGCAACCCAGGCATGTGCCCTGACTGGGAATCGAACCAGCAATCCCTTGCTTCACAGGCCTGTGCTCAATCCACTGAACTACACCAGCCAGTTGCCCTTGACTTTTGTTCACTCCATATAACTAGGGATGATTCCACATTGACTCATAAGGAGATTTCTAATTCTTTCTAACCACTAGATAGTATTTTTTAATGGATGTTCAATAATTACCTAGTCCTCGTTGATGGGAGTTTAGGTTGAAATACTCCTTTTAAGATACAACTTCAGCAGTCTTCACTTGGCACCTTCTTACCCACACACTCACTGGGGAAGGTGCAAGAGTCCCCAGCCCACTACTGCCCACACCACTGGCCTGTCCTCCTTGACGGCCCCACTGCAGGGAGACTTTCCTGAATCACAATAGCCACCCACTGGAAGGAAGCTCCACCTCCTCCTAGTTCTCCAGAATTTGCTTACAAAACGGAATCCAAAAGCATATTAAAAAATAAAACCAAGTGGGATTCATTCCAGGAAATCAAGGATGGTTTCATTCAATTTATTGTAATATCTTAGGAAAAAGTTGTCACTATCCTCATAAACTCAGAAAGGACAGTTGGCAAAATCCAGCATGCATTCGGATTAAAAACAAGTAACACGGTCCGGGAGCCTCCTCCCGCTCCTGAGCGCTGCACTTGCTCTCCCTCCCCCTCTTCTTCCCGCAGGACCGTTACCTTTGCCTTTCTTTCTCCTGAGCGCCAACAGCCCTTTTGCTTCTGTAACTTGTTTCCTCAGCTTACAACAGTTCAGATGGCTCCCTTCTACTACCTCTGTAACTTTCTAAATAAACTTTGTCTTATCATTTGAAATAAATAAATGGTAGGAATTGATACATATATCCTCAGCCAGCACCTTACTTAATGGAAACTTGCTTCCCCACTAATGTTGAGAACAAGGCAAAATTGCCCAGTTGCCACTGTGACTTGGTAAGGTATGAGAGGATTAACTAAAACAAGATTTAAAAAAAGCAATTTGACAAATATAAATTTGAAATAAGCAGGTAAAAGCATGTTTGCAGATGATGCGATTATATATTTCTGGAAAATGCAAAATCAACATAAACTAATACGGAAAAAGAGTTTGGTCAAGTAACAGGATGTAGCCCTGACACACAGAAGTCAGCAACCAACATGTACACAGAAATCCCCAGTTGGGAAAGAGGGCCCCATCTATAACAGCAACAAAAATAAAATACAAAATAGGCCAAACTTTCCCAAAAGCATGAAAAGTCTTCATGATAATCGAGAGAACCTTGAATAAAACATTCCTAAGTGACACAGGAGACCCTGCACAGAAGGGATGTAGAAATGTTCCTGGATGGGAAGACTCAATTGCATAAGGAGCCGAGAGTTCTTAAATTGGTTTATAATTGTGATGTCATCCAAATGTGATATTTTTTAGTTGAGTTGCTTCTAACATTTCATATGCAAAAACAAGCAGGAGTGACCAGAAGGACCTAGGGAGGGAGAGGAACATTCAACCCTAGCTAATATTAAAAGCTAATAAAGCCACCATCATTAAAACAGCAGTGCACAAGAGAAAAACAAACCCCTTCCTGGGACACAATGAAAAATTCAGAGACAGACCTGAGTGAATGTGAAAGGTGGTATATGGCTAGACAGGCATGCCAATCAGTGGAGGACAGACAGACCCTTCATTAAAAGATGGGGCAGCTGGATCACAATTTGAAAAAAGATCAAATTGAATCCTCACCTCATTCCAAAAACTAGGATAAGTTCCAAAATGGATCAGAGATAAATGTAAGAAATAATATCACACAAGTACTAAATAAACCATAAAGGAATTTCCTTATAAATCTAGGATTGGGAGAAAATAAACAATATGTCTCAAAATCCAAAAGAAACACAAAATATTGGTAAAGCTGACAAAATTTAAGACAGTTTTTACATGGCAAAAGCATAAAGCCAACACAAAAGATAATTGACAAACTGGCAGGGGGAAGTTTTTGCAAACATTAAAAAGAGTTAATAACCCTAATATATATAGAGTTCCTGGAAATCAAGAAGACCAGCACTCTGTTAGGGAAAAAAGCAAGATAATAAGAGTGCACAATAGAAATGAGCATATTTTGAAAGATGCTCAACCTCACAGTAAGAGT